GCTCCATATTAAGCATTTTCAGGGCAGAGTATTGTTCCTGTTAGTGTTTAGTGTGAGATGATAGTAAATATTCCCTTTCTTTCTCCAACAACTTTACCTGATAATCTAACTTTAGGCAAACCAGCAGCACAACAAATATTTTCAAATAAGACTCACAAACCTGAGTCAGCACCAGTCTCATCAAAGCTGGGGTTCTGTCGCCGTACTTTTGGTCTAAAAAACGTCCTTATGTCCATCTTCACTCATGCGTTTCAGGCAGAGAGTGTAGAAGTAGCCGGCTGCTGAAGGGCTTCTTCTTCAATGGTGGAGGCTCAGGCAGGCTGTATACAAACTACTGCCAGCTGCTCCCTCTCTGTTGGACTTTGGTACTGCATGCTACTTCCGCAATTTAGATCCGGGGCTTTTCATAAAACATCCGGGGCTTCAGCCCAAGTAGCCGGGCCTAACGCCGCCCCTGCTTCCAACTTACTTCTGCTTCCTGAAACATGAGCGCCAGAGCTTTTTTTCCATAGAAAACAACTCAAGGCTTTTATTCAGAAAAAAATACCTTCTTGCCCACCTTAAATTTTGCAATTAATTTTCCATTTTAGCAATGCCAGCAGTGTCCTCAGTACTGATTAATTAGTGTGATTCCAAGAGAAAATTTAAATCTTCTTGCAGTTTTGTTTCCAACTGTTTTACCTTGATAAGATGCTGACAAGTGGATGAATATGCTTTTCCTGGCAATGGCCTTTCTGGGTCAAGGTGACACGTCCTCCCCATGCAGGTGTGATTTTTCTCAGGGTGCATGCCAGAACAAACAAGTTGGGGTAAATCACAAAGTCACATTGGATAGAAGTGTCAGCCAAATAAATAAACATAAACCAACGCTTCTTAGTGGCTGGTTCCAATCTGGTTTTTACCCTTTACAACCCAACCCCTTTTGAAGTAGAAAACAGATTCAAGAAATACATCAAAATGTAGAAAAAATTGAACAAAATAAAGAAGAAGAATGATTTTCTATATATGCATGGATAGAATGTCACTTGGGGATTTCAAACTTGGATATTTGACTCAAGAAGCAATTTAGCAGATGTTTGAAATGGGTTGTGACGCCAGTGTCACCACAAGTCCTTCAGGGTTAAGATGCACCCTCTCTATAAGAAATGATAGAACATTTTCATAACTAAAATATAAAGAATGAAGCTCAGATCCTGTTCATGTGTTGGTTCTGCAGCTGCATGCTGTATTCATGGGACCTTGAGCTCCTCCACTCGCTGAAGTTCCTGTTAAACCCTCATTCTTAGATTAGTCTACCTCAGATCGTTGGATTAGAAGTTTAATAATGCATCTTTAGAAAATTTGTGAAGGTTGCACCTTTATTGTTTTGCTGCAACAGGGTTTTAATCTTTGTGTCAGAACTTAACAAAGACTCATTGTCACACTGGGTGGTGTTTGAGGTTAATAAACTCAGGATTTAGTGTTTGAGCTGAATGTCAGGACGTACCTTTCAACAGCAGCTCCGTTTTCCACAGCTCCTCACCTCAGCCGAACCTCTCTCTCTCTCCCTCTCTCCCTCTCTCTCTCTCTCTCTCTCTCTCTCTCTCTCTCTCTCTCCTCTCTCTCTCTCTCTCTCCTCTCTCTCTCTCTCTCTCTCTCTCTCTCTCTCCTCTCTCTCTCTCTCTCTCTCTCTCTCTCTCTCTCTCTCTCTCTCTCTCTTCTTTAATATTTCAAGTCTCAGCTTGGCCATTGCTGAGTTTGTTCAGACTTGATTTAGTAATGTTTTTGCAGTCAGCTCCACTGAGTTGGCTCCTTATCAACAGGGATATGAGGAGCACCAAACACAGATAGTCTTTGCCTGATTTCATGTCACTGTTTTGCAGACAGGTTACATGAATTAAAGAGCATGTTAGACCAACTACCGTAAATCCTCTAATATTAGCCTGCATTTAATAAACTGCCAGGTATCATATTTTGGCCGGTGTCGGAGGAGGTGAGCGCCGTTATGGCTGCTCTCGTGGTCTGCCTGTAGCTGTTCTGTCTATATGTGTGTGTAATCTTGGTCAGGCTGTTCTGTGGAGTCAAGTTCCTATGCTCTGGTTCGCTGGAGCGCTGGCAATAAAATTCATTCTGATTCTCTGATTCTGATTCTCTCTGAATAATGGCCATTTTTTAAATTGTGGCTGGGTGGAATGTGGTAACAAGCAAGTACGGGGGGCGGCTTCATCCGTCTCACTTTTGATTTGCCAGTGATAGACCGCGAGGGTAAATTTAACCATGCGGAGACGAAGAGGAGGCGAAAATTTGATATCAAGTTCAAAGAGAACGTGCTGATTATGCTGCAGAACACTCTGGAGAGCAGTAGCAGGGGTTGTATGAACTAGTCACTAGTCGACTTCACCGCTCTATAGTGACTTTTTATGCCTGTCATTGACTAGTCGCTGTCACGTGATAATGACCGGCAATATGCAGTCCACGGAAAAGACAGCAGCCTGCTGTCAGCAGGTGACAAGCTCCTGCGCGTCGGGAGGCAACGCGCTGTGCCAGAGCGTCGGTACTGACACCCGCCGTAAAACGGACATTTAACCAAATTGTGACCTTTACCCTCTTGCAATTTAACCTTCCCTCACCCCCATCCTAACCTTAACCAGCTTGCTCATGCAAAGCTCTGATTGTTGACGCGCTCCAGACATCTGCGTCCTGAGCACGGCCACAGTAACATTATCAAATCAGGTGTCGCCACCTCAAAAAATAATTTAACACGCGACCGTTCATGTCGGCTCATTTCCTTTTGTTTTCTGTCTTTTATTCTTTTATTTGTGCCTGATGCGTTTCGCTGCTGTGGATCAGGGCGCATCACCTGTTTTGTCCTCAGTGACACACCTAACTGATGTGGCCGGTGAGCAGCGGCACTCCGCTGTTTTTGCGGTCGGTAGATCTTTCAGAACTGCAGTTCAAAGGTAACTCATAAGGTGAATATATATGAACCCAGGTAGCAGTTTCTCTTTAGGATTGAGAGGAGATGCAGGAAGATAATAAACAGGCAGGACAGAAAAATAGTCAAATAAAAACAAGTTAGTTTTTGTACCTGGTGGTTGCAACAAACAGACACCAGTGAAGGTAATCAGAAGTGAGGAACAGAAAATGAAATAATTATTTTAATGTTTAGAGCAGCAGGAACTCTGAGAGGCTGCAGGCGCATCAGTGAGTTTGCGGCCGCTGCGCAGGGGGAGGGGGGAGAGGGCTGAAGCAGAAACTACCGTTGTGAAAAGAAATGTGTTTAACTTTGAAAATGTGGGCGCAATTTTAATTGTCAAAAACTCCAGCGAACCATTAGTTCATTTTGCTCAAATAGAAATAGAGGCCTGCCTCTAATTCTGGTCCTCCTTCCAATAAAGGCCTGGAGCTTGATGAGCTTGAGTCAAATACAGGCCCGGGCCTGTATTAGAGGATTTACGGTATATCAGCAGATGTGATCTGATGTTCAGCTTTGGCAGGAGAAGTGTGTGTGTGTGTGTGTGTGTGTGTGTGTGTGTGTGTGTGTGTGTGTGTGTGTGTGTGTGTGTGTGTGTGTGTGTGTGTGTGTGTGTGTGTGTGTGTGTGTGTGTGTGTGTGTGTGAAGACAAAACCACTTTGACAGTTTAAAAACAAGTCCTCCATCTCAACAAGAACAGACACACACACCTGTTTACATAGTGTGGATAAACCCTTCAGGAAGTGTTTTCTGCAGCTCACTAGCTTCATGTTCTTTGGTTTATACGCATTTTAGAGTTTTAACATTTGACATTTGCTCAATTCTGAAAGTTTATGCTCATAGAAAATAAGCATTGATTCACATGCTGGGTTATAATTTCATTAATCTCACTTTCCAGGTGAATAGATTGCATTTAGATGGAGGTTCACTGGAGCAGTTTATGAATTCTCGCTGGCAACAAAAATATTTGAATGCAAAAATTAGAAGAAGGTTGCATACCTTTCAGTGACGTCTCTGGCGTGACAAATAAAGTGGGCCACAATAACTTAACATAAAATAGAAAAACCCAGCAAACAAGATATATCGGTTTATATAAATGTAAATCAAGAACACAGCTTTTTATTACAAGATATGAAGAACAAAGGGTCACTCACCAGGTTTGTTTATATATTAAACAGAAATGTTCGTCTTTTATCTTGATAAACCTTTTAATAACTCCTCTGTCAACATCCAGTATGCCAGAAATTTAATCCAGTGATCTCCAACTGTGCATTAGGGGCAGCAGTAGCTCAACAGGTTGAGCGGGTTGTCCAGTAAAAGGAAGGTTGCAGGTTCGATCCTGGCTCCAGACAGAGAATTCTGCTGTTGTGTCCTTGGGCAAGACACTTAACCCACCTTGCCTGCTGGTGGTGGCCGGAGGGACCGGTGGCGCCTGTGCTCGGCAGCCTCGCCTCTGTCAGTGCGACCCAGGGCAGCTGTGGCTACATCGTAGATCATCACCACCAGTGTGTGAAAGAGTGTGTGAATGGATGAATGATACTGTAGTGTAAAGCGCTTTGGAGTCCTTACTCTGAGAGGTGCTATACAAGTGCGGGTCATTTATCATTTTTCCCAATAATCTGGCAGAAATGACTTAGAAGCTTGTTTAAAGCAGCGTTGTTGACTTCTTAAGCGTTTCAGGAAGTAAGACTCTGTGATACAATCGTTTATGCAACTAAAGCCTTGATGGATCAAATTCCTTAAACCTTAAATGTTATGGTTAGAGATGTTCTCATACCTGTCTTACTAAAGAGAAATATTATTACATCACAGAGACTAAATTAACTTATTTAATATACTTCATGAATCATTCTTATTGGTAAACAGGGATGAGGCTGATATTTATAACTCTGATGCTTGATTTTAGACTTAAAATACTTTAGAAATTAGATTAGTTTTATTTGCAGCCCACGATAAATCAGATCGTCCTGGTTTTTATCAAAAGTGCTGTTTTTTCTTGTTTTGTTTTTTTTCTTGTCTGATTCTTTGTGATTTCCGTCTCTGGCAGGTGGCAAAGGTGGAGTACGTACGACGGCGGCCAAAGCTGAGGGAGGTGCCGGTGACCCTGGAGGATCACTTAGAGTGTGTCTGTACCAATAAACAGCACATCGACCTGAACCCTGACACAGATAATGGTGTGTGTGTGTGTGTGTGTGTGTGTGTGTGTGTGTGTGTGTGTGTGTGTGTGTGTGTGTGTGTGTGTGTGTGTGTGTGTGTGTGTGTGTGTGTGTGTGTGTGATTGCTTTTGGAAGCATTATTAACCTCAGCTTCAACTTTGTCAGGCTGCCCCAGGTCAGCTGTGGCTATCTAGTAACTTACCATCACCAGCAGTGTGTGAATGTGAGTGCATGAATACTGAAAAGCACTTTATAAATCTAATCCATCATTATTAACCATTTTCTAGTACAAGTGGCCATATTTCATCACCCTCTCTCCTGGCACTCAAAGTGAGCAGAGGCTTTACTTTTCGCTCCTTCTCTTATCTTCCCGAGGCTCTTTGTCTCTTTTGAGGGTGATCTTTGGAGTTAATTTAAAAATTATGGATCTGGTTTACTGATCGCTGAACGCTATTGATAACATTCAGAACAGAGAAGGGAGCGCCCACATGCCCTCACGAAATGCACCCAGTTTGAAATATTTTGGATTCCTGGAAGTGGAACATCACGTGTCTTTCATTACTTTCTGTTGCTGCAAAACAACAAATCTGGCTCGGTTTGGCCTTGGCTGAAGAACACAACTCCCCGAGCAATGAATACATGGCTGTGCAAAATGTTGCAGACTCTCTCTCTGAGAACTAATTTAATGTAATTTAAAGCAGCTAGATGGAGTATTTCTCTTATCCATTGGCATCATCTAGTTGCTGACAAGCATATCACACAAAAAGTCTGTCGATCCATTTTATGAAGATGGCAACTTCACGTTTCTTGTTAATAAATGTGCTTCTGTAGCTGACAGAGTGAAAACACGTTGTTTTACAAGTATTATTCTCATGTCATGTTGTGTCTTCATATATTTTAGAGACTTACTTGTCCGTGAAAAGTTCATCAACTCTGCAACAGCTGAGGTATTCCTTAAATTTGAAGCATGTAAGTGGTAGTCTAATGCTATTGGTTAGTTCTGATCGGCGCTGTTTCCTGTTGCATGGAGCTTTGCAGGGCAGGGGGCGTGCTTAGCAAACAAATAAATAAACGTATTGCTTACATTATATCACAGTACATAAGATGGTCCCTTTTACGGATTTCAGAAAAATCATACTTAATTTCTGAAAGGAGAAAACTCTGGAAAGCTACTTTCATTTCATTTTATTGTTTGAAAATTTTGACATGATAACAAACCTGCAGCAATAGATGAGTAAAGCTTTACTCCAATAGTGTATGTTCTTGTGCTGGATTTAACAATAAGACATGCATGACATCCTTTATCTTTTCTCCCTCAGGCATCAGATGAAGAGGAACAACCTGGTGACTCAGTGTAGGAAAGACAAAGATCTAAACAAGAACCACCCAGAACATCCTCTCAGCTGTAAATCAACCAGCAGGAGTAATGGAGTCTAACAATATTATGGGATGTTTGGCATTCTCACAGAGGACGATGATTTCTCAGTGAAGAGAAGAAACTTGTCAGCCCAACAGAACTGATCTGGGATCTGTGACTCTGGGAAAAATCTTACCTGTCCTGATCTTTCACATTAGTGGGACTGATATTTTAGGTTGGACTGTTTTTTCCACAAATAGTGACATGGGATTGGTTTTGTTACTCCTTCCTCTGTAAAAACAGAAAATAAACTCACTCATGCATTCATATCTTTATGTTTTTATAACATTATGCTTTTATTGCTGTTTGTTTATATTTCTGGTTTATTTTCTGCATTAGGATTAAAAATGTGGAGACACGTTACTGACAATAAAGTCTATATATGAAACAAATGTGGTGATGAGAAAACTTGATGATTATGATGTGGAGTTGAAAATCTGTGGTTGATTCACGTGGGAACATAAAATACTGACATTCTTTATTTTTTCACCTTTTTACCAAACAACCAGAAGAAATCTTCTTTTGATTCCTTTGTGTGAAAACACAGCCACTTTTCAGTTTTGTTTAATAATCTTTAAAAATGTTAAAGTGGTCCTTTACTTATATTTTTAATACATTTACATTGGTCCCTAGTAGGAATGAATGCCTTGTGAGTTTGGGGAAAAAAGCTCCGGTGCACCTGTTTCAGCATGGAGAATCTATCTGGAGGAGAAAGTAGCTTTTGACGGCAGGATTTGGAGTCTTATTTCCTGATATTTGGACATCTCACTTCTGATTGGCTAACCACAACGTGACTCTACCACTGACTCTGTTTGCTTTGCAACGTTGATGTTTTATCTCCACAAATGACACAAGCTGAGAGGAGTTCCACCGTCTGATGGAGATGCTAATGCTAAAGGTTAGCTTCTACTAGCTGAGAGATTCTCTGCTGTTCCCTGGATGCTAAACCAACAACAGTGTGACGTAGATCTGTCAGGCCTTTCAAAACCTGAAAACGTTTTTCAGAAGCTAAAGCAGGAGATGGGGGTAAGAGACTACTTTCATGTCCAGCATGCATGAAAAACTCGGAGTCACCCGATTATAAGCAGAAATAAAAGTTTAAAGGTGTTTTCTCAATGAGGGACCCTTTTTAGGTTGTTTTGTTTTATTTTATAGAATCAGGGCTGTAGATGAACACCACATCACATAAAACACTTGGATTATTTAAAGCAAATATGCTAAATAAGGGTTAAATATAACTGACTCAATAAAGTAGCACAACAAACATGTTTATTATTTAGCAGATTTAAATCATTTCACACCTGGTTTATTAAAGCAGAATGGTAAACCAAGATGTGTAAAATGTTGCATTTATTACCAACCAAATAAAATTTGAATGAATAATTTAAGTATTTAAAAAGACAATGTGTAGTTTTTACCATTAATTTCTGGAAATATTCATCAAAATGTTGTTGAAAATGAATTAAATGATGCCCAGTTGTTGAAAAATATTGGGGCTTTGTAACATAAATAAAGAAATCAGGTCTAACATACACGGGAGCAGGTCTAGGTCTCTGGGCGACGCCCTGTTAGACGCCATGTTTCCTTCTACGGGAGCCCATGAGGACAAAATGCATTTACTGATTTGAAACAAGTGGTTACAAAACTTTCTCCATTCTTAAATGTTGTGGTTTTACACATTTACCTCTTCACTTGTTGTCAGTGATGAAAGGGAGTCTGATGTTCTTGTTGTTTTGCTAAAGGTTGCACTCCCCAGGGCTTTTTGACCATAATGGGCATCTGTTGGTAAGGTTTTACTCCAACACAAAAATACAGCTTGCTTGCAATGATTTAGGTATCTACTGCCCCCTATTGCCAGGAAAAACACACACTGTCACTTTAATGTCAGAATGTGACTGATTACATCATCAATCAACCTCTTCTTTGTACATTTGGAATTAATAGAAATTAGAATGTAGAAACTGCAGCTCTGACAGGTGTAAACTCTATTCAGACTGTTATTAACAACAGGTAATAAAGTGAATATTTAATATTTTACGAAACTTGTCTAAGTGTCGGACTGCACCAGACAAAAACAGAGAGAGAGAGCATCATCTGCTTTCAAGAGCAAGACTGAACATTACACTGCTTTGAGTCATTTTTTTTAAAAACCAAACCAGAAAATGCCTGTCACAGCAAAATAGAGAACATGGTGTTTTCCATATCCTGGTGGTCATAAAAACCTCACTTCCATCAGCCAGAACCACAGTCTTTAACGTCGTGTGAGGCTTCTTTCTGTTTGTCTGCTGCTCATATCATGAAACACTTTGAATGACACACTTCAGCAAATAAATCTATTTAATTCAAACAGGAAAATAAATGCATGTAGGTATCACAGAGAAAAAAGTCAGGCAGCTGAATTCATGCAAACTTATTTTGCATGTAGCTCTTGGTGCATTGATGTAAACCATCTGAAGGCACTGCCCACCGGCATAACCAGACCGAATAGCTGGAGAAAAAACATGAAAATCATCGTTTAGTGGTTCAATGTGAGCCACAAAATGAGGACGTTTAAAGTTTGGGTTTTTATGTTCTAGGTTGTCTTCCCAGGATTTTACCAAAAAGTACAGTTAACAAAAATAAACACAACACTTTTGTTTTTGCTCCCATTTTTCATGAGCTGAACTCAAACATCTGAAAATATGTCTACATACACAAAACACCAGTGACTCTCAAATATTGTTCTGAAACATGTCTACGTGTGTTAGTGAGCACTTTTCCTTTACCAAGATAACCTCACAGGTGTGGCACATCAAGGGGCTGATTAGACAGCATGACTAATGTACAGGTGTACCTTAGACTGCCCACAATAAAAGGCCACCCTGACATGTGTACAGTTGTGGGGGAGTAAACCAGTTAGTATCCGGTGTGGTCACCATTTGCCTTAGGCAGGGCAACACATCTCCATCACATCGAGGTGATCAAATTGTTGATTGTGGCCTGTGGGATGTTGGTCCACTCCTCTTCAATAGTTGTGTGAAGTTGCTGAATATTGGCAGGAACTGGAACACACCGTCGTATACGCCGATCCAGAGCATCCCAAATATGCTCAATGGGTGACATGTCTGGTGAGTATGCTGGCCAGGCAAGGACTGGGATGTTTTCAGCTTCTAGGAATTGTGTACAGATGCTTGCATTATGGGGCCGTGCATTATCATGTTGCAACATGAGGTAATGGTCGTGGATGAATGGCACAAAAATGGGCCTCAGGATCTAGTCACAGTACCTCTGTGCATTCAAAATGTCATCAATAAAATGCACCTGTGTTCGTTGTCCATAACATACACCTGCCCATACCAGTACCCCACTGCCACCATGGGCCACTCGTTCCACCACAATGACATCAGCAAACCACTCACCCACAGAAGTTATGCAAACCTATGGTTGCTGCAGCTGTCCGGGTGGCTGGCCTCAGGCGATCCTAGAGGTGAACATGCTAGATTTGAAGGTCCTGGGCTGGTGTGGTCACATGTGGCCTGCGGTTGTAAGGGTGGTTGGATTTACTACCAAATTCTCTGAAACTCCTTTGGAGATGGCTTATGGTAGAGAAACGGACATTTGTTTCACGGGCAAGAGCTCTGGTAGACATTTCTACAGTCAGTATGCCACTTGCACTCTCCCTCAAAGGTTGCGACATCTATGGCATTGTGCTGTTTGATCAAACTGCACGTGTCAGGGTGGCCTTTTATTGTGGGCAGTCTAAGGCACACCTGTACATTATTCATGCTGTCTAATCAGCCCCTTGATGTGCCACACCTGTGAGGTAGGATGGATTATCTTGGTAAGGGAAAAGTGCTCCCTAACACACATGTAGACAGATTTCAGAACAATCTTTTAGAGTCATGGGTGTTTTGTGCATGTAGAAACAGTTTCAGATGTTTGAGTTCAGCTCATGAAAAATGGGAGCAAAGCAAAAGTGTTGCATTTATATTTTGGTTCAGTGTAAATGAATAAAACAGAAAAGTATCATGTGGGTGTAAAATCCTGAAAACTGCTCTGGGAGGGACAAGGAGAGGAGACAGATGGGGATAAGACTGTAACGAGGTCTGAAAGGTGAGAGGGAGGAAATGAAAACAGACAGGATGGAGTCCAGTGTGTGTGTGTGTGTGTGTGTGTGTGTGTGTGTGTGTGTGTGTGTGTGTGTGTGTGTGTGTGTGTGTGTGTGTGTGTGTGTGTGTGTGTGTGTGTGTGTGTGTGTGTGAGAGAGAGAGAGAGACAGACAGAGGGAGAAACTCCATCTCTCTAAAGTTCCACTAAGCAGATTAACAACAAGCTAGCTAAAATGCTCAATGCTCTACAGGTCAAGTACAACCTGATATAGACTGATGGAAGTCTAAACTCACCCCTCCGAGAACAGATTTCAGATCAGATTACCAAATCATCCGGTTCCTATAAGAAGCCATTCAGAAGCTGAAAGTAAATCTGATTCAAGGTCAAGAGTTTCTCCTGGATGAACACCTTCAGGTCATGCTGCAGCTGGTCTTGGGATATAGATGTTTTTTCAGTGAGTTTAAAGGAAAGGTTTGACATTTTAAAGACTCCACACTAAGATCAGTAAATACACATTTCATTCTTGTGGCGAGTCAATCGTCGTTTCTTCTGTCCTGTTCAACCCAAACGAAGTCCGGATTCCTCTCCTCGCTGACCTGCTGCTTTAATTTCCATGAGTCATGCAGAGCTGTTCTACCAGATAAACATGTCCACTTCCCACAGTCAGACGGTTCCCACCACCAGATCCGCTTGAGAACAGTGAGCTGGACTACTGGAGCTGAGGTTTGGCGAACTGCAGCAGGATAAAGTTTTACTGCTGTGTGGCCAAAGCTGGTGTTTTGGATCCTGAGAGAAGATTTTCTTACCAGAGAACAGATTATGTGAAGAAGTAGGACAAAAAATAAGACATTTCTATGGTTTCACTTCGCTTTTACCTGCTGCCTTTGTCGAATATTCGTCTGCGTGTCGTGTGTTTGAAAACCAAAGTTGTAGAATCACTTCATGTTGCATGTATGTCCTTTCAGTTGTCCTGTTTTAGGGACTTCAGGTAAAACGGCTCATGTCAGATACAAACTGACCTGTCTACAGTGATCGTACACAAAGTTCCAGCTGGGATCCTTGGCAGAAACAGCTGCATGTCAAACAAAGGAAGGGAAAACTGACATTCCACATGTGTTTTAAAGTTTAGTGCAGGTAGCCACTCATTTAGGTGTGGTCTTGGTTTTATTGTGACACTCTGTTTCAGATTACACTGTGTTTACATAATCTCTCTGGTTCCTTTGGTTTAAACAGTCCTTTCCTGCTATTACTCTATTTATTTGCTAATTTATCTAATCAGTTATGAATTCATGGATCATTTCCTCACCTAACCAGAATCCAGAAGCCGAACAATCGGCCCCCGGTGGCTGGCTGAGACTCTGTCTGGTGTTTAGGGTCTGCACAAATGTTACCAATATAAGAAATAATCTGAAGTTCCCTCACGTTTGTAAAACAGCTGCTTAAAGCTTCTGGTGCACAGATTAATGTGAATACTTGGAAGAAGCACTCCTGCCTGAGCAG